AGTCTGTGAGTAGCTACACTGCTAGCATGCGTACAGTACATGACAGAAAGCGAAAACATCAATTAGTAGATTCTAGCCTCGTAAGAAAAGTTTGAACCTTTTGCTTCCTTCTTCTGCAACGGCACAAAATCCAGTTCTCGGCTAGTTGTCCCTTCATGATCTTCATGAACGAGATGACAGCTGCCGGGCACGAACAGGACGAGGGTATGACCAGTCCTGTGACGGTCTTCGGTTCAAATCCACTGGTGCAGCCGTTGATTTGGCTGCGGGTCATGCCATCAGGGTACCCTGGTTGAGAATAGGGAGATCAACCTACCAGGGATTGGGCTCCAGGTATTGACTCACAGCCATTTCGAAGAACGCCGGGGCACAGTCGAAACATTCAAAAGAAATTTGTCCGCCATGGGAACCACACAGATCTACGCGTCAGCCGACAGGGCCGCCAGTGACATTTGTTTGAAGTTCACCTCAAACGTTTGGCCTTCGGAACATCATCTTGGTATGTCTGCCATCCACATGCAAATCCCCCCAAACTACATCAAACCAGGCCCCAGGCTGTGTCAGCGCCTCAACCTGCGATGTTTCACCTGCTTGCTCCGCAGGACCCGCACGTCCGGACGCGCGCAGGATGCCGGCGTGAGCTGATCGAACTGGGGTCGATTACTGGTGTGGGGCAATTTCATTTTGGCCGAGGTCTTCCAACTCTGCAAATGTCTGCCTTTTCATCAAAAAACTAAGCCCAAAGGCAGAAACATAAGTGTTGCATAGTTGGAAGATCTAGGTGTGTATGAGAGAGAGAGAGAGAGAAAGAAAGAAGAAGAAGGAGAAGAAGAAGGAAGAAGAACAACAACAAAATGACCGATGCTTCTTTTAATTCCTTGCTGCCTCTCAGAGTCGGTTGGACTATTGAATAACTCGAGAATCTTTGGACATCTGCTGATGTTGATGCTCATTGGATCTCATTGGCAAGCCATTTTTCTCCAAGCTACTTTATAAGATCAGGCAACTCCGTAAACAGGAAGTTCTCATGTTCGCCAAGGCACCAGAAAGCACCTCCTCCTCATCGGCCATGTGATGCAAAGAGGAAATGCCTAGCGAGGAACATGGATCCAGATCCAGGGAACGAAACCACGTACAGGTGGAGGCGCAACGAGACCACGGTATAGGCCGTATTCTCAAGTAAATATATTCCTGCTTTGGGGGTGACCATGGGTGACCTGTCAGAGTCCAAGACAGCTGTTTTTTCTTCCCTTCCGTCAAAACCTGGGCGATCCTTGGAAGACACACACCTTTGGAAGACACCACAAATGTTCACTTTTGGGCTTCGCGTCTCTTCCGCGGATTTTTTTTCATATGTCTCACCGTTTGCTCCTGTCCTGAGTGTTTCCGCCTGTTTCCGTGAAAGGTGCGGTGTCACTCTTCAAGGATTTGGGCACTGTGTGCGTTCATCGCTTTCGGAACCTCCTCATGGTCTCCGTCTGCCAACGGACCACCCACTGAATAGAAGAAATGCTCTTTTTTTTTCCAGAGACCTGGGGATCGATTGCGTTGGTTTGGAGAAGGTGCCTATATATAGTATTAGTATAGGTGTTAATGGAAAACCGTGAAACACGGAGCGTTTTGACGAGTTCCCAGTTGCTCCCTTCCGCCAATGGTTTCCGTTTGCGGCAGTTTGCTGCACCTGTGATGAATTCAAAGTCCTTCTCAGTCTCAGCATCGCCTCAGTCACATGAGCAGCAGCCACATGGATTTCCAAGTCTTCCAACAAAATAGATTCCAGAAACACAGACGCAGAGACAGCGCACATGACATACCCTCGAAAGTCAAGTCCAGAGAGTTTGGAGGTTCAGTTTAAGCCACATGACTCATGATGACAACAGAACTTCAATGCCAACCTGGCACCCTTAGTGACTTTGGGGATACACTCCTGGCTGCGAAACTAGTCGGGCAAAAAGCGTTTATCTGCCAGACTGGTCGTCCACGTCGTACACCTCCAGAGAGCTCCATCACGAAATCGCGTGGTTTTTCACACGGAACCTTCCGTGGATGCGAATGTGGAAGACTCCATCCAATCTGCTGATGAAAAATAAACATCAGAAATCCAAACAGAAGATGGAATGCCACCCCAACGAATGTGGAAAGACTTTTCCAGGCGTCTTACGGCGGTGGAGTGCACCCTGACACCTAGATCCAAGCAGACCCGAAATATCCCAGGATCATGCTCACCATCGGGCGTAACATCCACAAAACTGCAGATGACATCATGACATCCTTCCGCGCTTTCGGTCATCCCCAACCGCGCGTGGGGGATGACCTCCTTCGCTGTCCAAAACGTTTTAAAATAACAAAAAAAGCAGAGTGTTTGGTGACAGTTTGGTGTAGATACCCAGTTCAGTAATTAATGATCTCCATCTTCATCCATCTTCCCTCTCACCAAGTGGCTCTGTGGTTGTTCCGCTGGCTCAGCCTGAGACCATTCACCGTGGTCGGTCTGAATATGTCTGAATGGCCGTCTTTTCGAGTGTTTCTCTTCTCGGCCACCTCAAAAGACCCTTCTTTACATGCCTTTCCACCTTTATGGCACGTGTCGGATCGCTGCCTTTGGGGCAAAAATGGCGCTGGGGGTGTGGTTTTCGTGGGTCTTCTCCCGGTGCACCGTGCATCCGGACCGGTCAGGACGAGGTCCGGTCCGGACGAGGTCCGAGCGGCCCGAACGGCGGAGGAGGACGAGGAAAAGAGAGGCTGGGCCCCGACCCAACACCAGTTTGCGGCCGAAACAGCTCGCAAATCGGTCTGGCGTTCACTTGAGGTCTGGCCGCCGTGTGGCCAGCAAGCCATGTTTCTAGCCTATTACGTGGGCCGCCACGTGGCACTGATGGTGCTTCCGCCCCTCTTCGGCCCTCTTCGCTGAAGAGACTGCCCGCCTTCGAAGACACTTGCTTTTGACGGCGCATGGTCCTGTTGGTCTGACCCCCCAAGACTCCGCTGAAAAGAAAGAACGCAAAGAGGGGAGGCGATTGCTGCTGAGGGGTTGGTCTACACATAGATGGAGGTTCAATCTGTCTATACACCAATGATTCATGATCTAAAGTCTTGGAAGCAAACTTTATGTTGTATAGGTGCTTTGGGATCATTTTCGTGCATCCCTCCTTCATACGTGCATCCTCCATGTGTGTATCTTTCGTGCGTCATCTGTGTCTTCGTTGTTCGTCCACCAGACCGGTGTCGTGGATCAACCACTGGTGCTGCCGCAGAACCCTGGTTGACCCATTCACTCTACGTCGTAGGATTACCGAGGTGGTCCGTTCGGTTTCGATGAGAAAACGAACTCTTGAGCCGCTTTTGGAGCACCACCGCGAATCCATGGAGCAAGGGCCGACACAGTATCCGCGTGTATCGGCCCAAGGGTCGACCTCGTATGGTGTGTGGACAGATTTACCCTCGAGCTTCCACCATCGAGTGAGATCTGCGATGGCTTTGACCCGACTGTTGGCGCACCTCCGACCTTGCACCCGGACTCCACAGAACTCCCAACTCCCAATCGCTGCAAACACCCGGCCCTCCTCGGCACGTCCATCTCGCTGAGCATCCTGGGGGGTAGACACCCCCCCAGCACAGAAGTTCCCCCGAACGAGGTTGACCCGGTCCGTAACGGACCAAGTGACCCCCAGGAGGTGTGCGGTGGATTTTTGTTTGGAGAAAAAGGTCTCTGCAGAGAGTGAGAAAGTTGGGGTGAATACCGCCCAAGTTCGAGAGAAATGGTTGTGGATCCTGAAGCTCGGTCAGAGTCTTGGAACTCTTCTAACCTATGATCCATAGCCTCACCATGCCATCTTCACAATACACCATCGACGACAACCTGCAATCAATCGAACATATTTCATATCAAAGACTTCAACAGCTGCAGGGTGCTGCCTCCACACTCGGCCTCCACACCTTGGTAGCTCCTCTCAAGAAAATCGTCGCAAAATGCATCCAAGAGTCTTGAACAGGTTGTTGTCCACGCGGGAGTCAAACAAAGGTAAATGTAAAAATAGCTGCGATTCATCGGCGTGCCATGCATCATTGAATCTGATCGGTTCAATTCATCAAGTACCCTGCACACTGAGGTCTCGAAGAAAGGAGAATTTAGAGGCAAGTTGGAGGAGAATGACCAAAAAAATTAACACAAGACCTCGTACTCTAGTACATACTTTATTGGCTGTTGTCAATCCTGCTCGTGTCTTGCAATGACACACCGAGGCACCGACACCCACGTCCAAAAAAGGTCAGGCTACTATACATCTTGATCCTGCACACAGCTATTCCAATGAGTTCTGCAACCCACGATTCCCAAAACACTAAAGAACTGCAACACACAAACAAACACGAAACACGTTGAAACGCCACTGATGAAGCGAATAAAGCCTGGCCCGAAGCCAGCCGCACCCGCCGCAAACACGAACCTCCCTTCAATGGCCCATCCGACACACTTTGTACGAAAAATCACAGCATTTCGTGATCCGGCTTTAGCTATTCCCGCAGCCCAGGAGTGCAAAACACAGTACAACTGCACCACACAAATAAACACGAATAGCATTGAAACACCACTGATAAGGCAGACTACTGTATTCCCCTTGATCAGTCCCGTTTGATCTCATTCCCCGTTGATCTCATTCCTTTTGATCTCATTCCCCTTTGATCTCATTCCCCTTAATGTCATTTCCCTTGCTCTCATTCACTTGGATCTCATTTCCCTTGATCTCATTTCCCTTCAACTCCTTTCCCTTGATCTTATTCCCCTTGATCTCAGCCACATCGCTGCAAGACGCACCTCGCTCTGGCACTGACTTCTGCCAAAGGGACTGTCTAAGATCTGCTGCAAGGAGACGTTGAGTGACTGAATGCGCATCAACATGATCATAGAATTCTGTGACGATGCATGTTTCGTATCCTGTCTATCTCGTAAATTAAGACTCTGGGGCTTCCTGCACGTTGATGGCAGCCAGCTCTTCATGGTCCTAGTCCTAAAGGTCAAGTTGCGTCTTGGCTAGCAGAAAAGCACAATCATGGATTTACAGACTGCTCTGCTGACTCAATTCAACATTGTTTTAGCATGGTTTCATTAGGCTACGGGCTAGACCGACGGCTGCCGTCAAGATTAAAAAAAGAAATCAAAGCACGGTTTCATGACATTATGGTTTTAGCATGTTAAGTGATGCTTCCAGCGAACAGACTGGCCTCCAGCTCAGAAGCTCGCAGAAAAGCTTCTGCTGCATCTTTGGCCTGCGGTACACTCAGAGGGGTTAGCACCGGAGACACTTCAATATTTAGTCAATGTGTTATGACGTTTCAGCAAGGTTCAGAACTGGTTCCATCAGGGTCCATCAGGTTAAGGTGCTGACTTTATGGAACCTTGTTAGGTCATATCAGGTTTCAGAACAAGTTTAGCTGTTTAGCAAAGTTTAGCTGCTGACCTGGACCAACTCCTCAGTGCAGAGCTGCTTGGCTCGAGCATAGCCTGCGCCTGAAAAGAGGGAACCATGAGACGAGGCAAAGAGGCACAGTAACTTCAGCAACGGGTGAATTTATCAGTGCGTTCACAGGCCTCAGCCTCTTTCAACCGGCCCTCATCGACTAAAGCAATGCAGCGTTGAAGCACGACTCATAAACTCCAGAGCTTCCTGCAGTGAAGCTGATGAAGTGAGGAAACTGATTCTCAGCTGATCGTCAGCTCCTCACCTGATTTCTAGACACTATAGCCATAGCCTGCCGAATTCAAGCGGCTGCTCTGTTTTGCCCAGCCCATATTTGGGAGTCTTGCTAGCTTTACAGCCGTGCTTGATTTCAGGATAGGGTCTTCCGCGATTGCCCACCGGCAACATGAGCAGCTACTGCGTTTGCAAGTAGACCTTTGTCTTCACGATTGTCATGCTCACAGATAGGCAAGGAATGCCAGTGATGCAAGCGATGCAAGTGCCCCCAACACTCCAACACTCAAACCACCGAAAGCGTTCTCTGGATCATCCCTGTGAAGTTCATCATACATGTCCGCACCTTGAGAAAACATTACGAGTACTCTGACTGTACCCGACTCGCCAAAGGATTCCGAAATGCAAAGAAGCTAAGAGACCGACAAGAGAGTATTCTTACCGACAAGAGTCGTAGCTATGACTGAATCTGTATTGAATCTGCACAACAAGATTTGTTCAAATATTGTTCGACTCTCACAGCTCAATCGCCCTTGGCCAGCTGTTTTTCGGAATGAGATAGGTAAGGTTAGGATCTTCGCTACTAGTAACAAGGCATTACTACTAGTAGCTAGAAGCTACTACTAGATACTACTAGCAATGCCGCTTCTGCCTTTCGCTCCCGGTCCCGGCCGTTGGCTCCAATGGGCGGCTTCTACCATCGGATGACCAGATCCGACCACATCCGAAAAATTAAAAGAGAGGCTCAGTTCAAAAGGACTCTTCAACCCACCGACATTTCACCAACCAAAACATCAAGCTGATACCTCCGCCGGCGCCGCCGGTCCGGGCAAATTCGGCTTCGCCGAGTGCAGCAAGGCGAATTCAGGGAAGAAATCAAGCTCGTTTCATCAACTTCGTCACATCGACGATGTATACAAGCAGGAACAACCTAACAACTTGCATGACGAGTTGCACGACAACACAACTCAAGTACACTCAGATTCAAGCAGGAAACTCATCAGGTGCCAAAGCACATCTGGTCAGTGATAGCACGGGTATGTATAAAAGTATGTACGGTATGTGTAAAAAGACATGATGGCTTGGATGTCGTCTGCTTGACCATCCTTTTTTCCACCACCTGGAGTGCTCAGTAGCACCCGGGGTGTCCGGGGCAACACCGAGACACTCTCCTTCCGTTCACGCCGGATCTGCTTCAAGAACTGGTTCAAGGGGAGGACACAGTGAACCGAGCTCACTAGATACCTCCAATACCGACTGAGCTCACGAAAGATGAACCTCACAACGATAGCTGGGTCTTTGTTGATGCCCTTTGCCCTTTGGCAAATATCATCACCCAGCTTTTCTTGTCTTCACTGCCTGGATGTCAAACATACAGTGTAGGACACAAAGTACATTGATACCATGATATGATATGAAATGTCACATTATGTATGATCTGTACATCCTTGATATAAATGTCATATGATGTAGACTCTTGACCAATAAACCCTCCCCATTTGGATGCACGAACTGTGAGCAGATCTCGCCTCCAGTGCTCCAGGCGCTCAAATGGGGCCTCGCCACACCCCAACAGGACTTCGGGGAAGGCCAAGGCAAATGGATGGAAAGATGGAAAGGCTCCAAGTCCTCGGAGAGATGGAACAATGATGAAAAGTGCATTACCTGACGGGTAACCTCACGGGCGGAAGGGATCCAGGACTGAGGGAGTTGAGGGAAAGGACCGACCTGGATTGAAACAGGTATTTAGCAATGTGTCTTCAGCAGGGTTCTTGGGCTTTGGGTGAGTCAATCACTGTGGTTTCAGAGTAGATAGCACAAACACATACAAACACCAAGATTATGAACCCGTACCGATCGTGTGGCACCTTTTAATCTGGCAAAGAAGAGAAACGCACCCGGAGACTCATGAATGCGTTCGAAGTGCGCGTGTTCGCGAGCCAAATTCCTAGGCGAACGTCGGTCGAATCTGCCAAGCACCCAAAGAAAGGGTTCCACACACAAGCTTTTCACCACGAATTCCAAGAAGCAGAAAGCAAAAGCTCTTCAGCTTGATTGATAGACTTGGCCCTTCGTGAGGCTTTAATGGCTCTCAAGCAGAACTCTGATATTTCTAGCATTTTCTAGCAATCTTTCTATAAGGGCACGCCAAATGCCTGATGACTGGCGACAAGTAGGGTGTCAACGGGGGTCTGATTCCTTCTGTTCACCCCTTGACCGGATCCCTCTTGTTCTTCCGTCCTTCACTGAAAACATCTGAAGACTATTTCAGTCCAAGAACTTGGATTCATGTGTGCAATGTCCTCAGGATTCATCGGCTTGGACTCACTTTTGATGTGTCAATTTTCCCGCTCGCACCCTGTCTTCCACAGATTAAGTTTGGACGAATTCCATCGGAAAAGAGGGATCATTGACTGATCCCATCATTGACTGCTCTCCAACTGGCCCCACCTTAGCCTCACAGTCATTCGGAACCACCGCGAGGGTGGTCTCACCAACTCCTGCACCTGGTGCGTGGGGAGATCCTGGCGCGGCCTGGGGCCGGACCAGGTGGCATTAAGTGCTTACGACAGCTACCAGCTACCACAGTGCTTGTGAATTGAGTTCTGACTCATCAATTCTGCGCACATTGATTGACCCTTGACCCACATCAGTCTACACATACATGTGTTTTGTTTCATTCTGGCTCGATGGCTCCATCAGATCGATGGGAGTCTGGCCGTTGGAGGTCGGACCACGGCGCACGTCCGACGCGAACGAAAGCTCCGGCTCCGACACGTTCGCCAGCGAAACTGGTGTGGTTCTCTTCACTACAGTTTTATCTGAAACTATAAAAAGGAAAAAAAACGCATAAGGAAGTCTCAGGTATTTGAAGAAAAAAACTGTTTCATCCCCTCAAGTTGGCATGGCTTTTGCCACAGGTCTCAGCCGAGGACTCGTGGTTTGCTGCTTCGTGTCGCACAGATGTCCCACACACGTGTCACATATGGTGGACAGCTGCCAATGGACGTGGCAAACCGGAATTGGTATGCTCTGCGTGAGACACGCATGGTATTGTTACATACCAATTCTGGTAGAACACTTATTGAACCACTTCATAGGAGAGAGAGAGAGAGTCGTCCATACTTGCTCTGTAGCTGAGCAGCGATCGGGTGTAGCTGAGCCTGCTGTTCGTTTTGGTTGATTGATGTTGATTTGGAGAAGGGGGCAAGACCGGAACACCCCGAATTTCATGATACTTGAAGAAGCACACTCTATAAATATTTTAATATATTAATACGATTAATATATTAATAACTATATCATATCTCATACTGTTCCCCTGGCACTTCTTAAATGTTCGTTGCCAATTTCAACCCCATGGCCCCATCAGGTACGGCCGAGTCTTGTCGCAGCACGAAGACAAATAGTTAAAAACATCCCGTGCAGCTGGGCTGAACTTTGACAACCCAAACACGACAAATGGGACTGGAATATGTACCGCCCCATATATACCTCCCCAAACCACCCCAACAGATCGGCAAGTATGGCAAATCGGCAAGCAGCAGGTCGTGTTGGCGGGTCATATCATCTCATGCTGTCGTCATGCCAAGTGGCCGTTGCCATGCACTGTCTGAGGAAGGCTCCGTCTGGTGCGCTCCGCAGCAAGTAGCGAGAACCTTCACTCAACCAATGACACACGTGAACTGCCATATTCATGTTGTCTTACACTTCATGGCGTGTTTCACATGATGCAGTGAGACGAACTATCTTATAACAAAGCACCTCTACCAAATCTGTCGATCTCACGTTGCTGCACAGTTGCCACTTCCTTCAGAAGCAAAGTATGTCGATCTCACACGCAGCACTTTCTGCTTGAATCTCCCTGTCCAAAACCCGGGTGAAACTCAAGCTCCTGCCAAGGTGCATCAAACCCTACAAATGGTCAAAACCATGCCTCTACACATCTCTTCCAGTTGAAGAGGCAGTCCCCACCAGCCTGGCACAAGTGTCCGAAGCAAGTCTCTCAATGGTCAGAACTAGTTGCTCCGTGGCGGCCAGCCTTGGACCGCGAAGCCAACACACGGATGCCCAACACGCAAAAGATTGTAAGGACGAGCTGGTATGCAAGGGCCGCCCAATCAGCAGCACTGTACAGGCTGTACCTCAAATAAAGCAGCAATGCTCTATTGAGCTGCTGCACCCCTTCCATTATCAAGACCAGCAGTGCAACATAGCATAGCATGGTGAAACATCGGTTCCGCAAGTTGAGCGCTATCCGCCCACTGAGTCGAGCGAGTACAAGTACGACAAAGAGCCCCAATGAAAGATTCACGGGCTCTTCGATCATTTTGCTGCAGCGGAAGAATGGACTTGCAGCTTCTGGCTCTACTTCTAGCCATACAGTGGCTGGCGATAGCACGTCTTTGAAATAGAAACTAAACGACAAGCAAACACGGCAGACAATAAGCATACAGGAGAAATGAGTGATCGGAAAATAGCCATTTCCCATTTGCTGTGCAACAAACACGTTGAGGTGAGATCGTACTTCTTGATCAAACAATTCCAGAGGATCTGTGCCTTTCGAGCCTTTCTCCGTGCTGTACCAGGTACTCAGTGTACCATACACGACGCGCCGGTCGCATGAGATCTGTTGACCAGTTTCAGGCATGCGATGGCCCACAGAACAGCAAAAGCATTCAGCATCCCGAATGCTGAAGCTTGATAGCTGCTCTGACAGCTGAGCAAGACTCCCCAAGGTCTTCATATAGACCCACACAGCCAAAAAGACTGTCACTGTAGCCATCACCTGTCGAATCACATGCGCTAGCTCCAGAGAAAACTCCTCGTACGAGAACGATGCTGCATCAATCCCAGTGAAGACAAAGAAACTCCCTGACAGCAGGACGCTGCCGATGCACAAACAGGCCCCAAACGATGCCGGGATGATCTCAACGCGTTTCCGCCTGTGCAAGCGCAAAAAGGCCCCAAGCTCGTATGTGCACCACAAGCGACTGAAGTACCTGATTTGCAAATGCGGAAGTGCGATGTGGAAGTTCACTGCACATGTTGCTCGACATCATCAGCGTTTAAAGTGGAACCCTTGTGAATCAGAGTAGTCACAAGTGGTCAAAAACATCTACCAGTACTAAGTAATTATACTAAGTATCCAAAGACTTCAAAAACATGTCAACTGGAGCTGAAGCTCTTGGGGGACCAAAGTATCACCATCCTCTTGCTGTTGGAGAGGAAGGCTGCAAGCCCGGCGATGCCCTCCTCCTTCTTGTGCATGTCGTGCTGAGAAATGCAAAGCTTGTCCAAGAAGACCATGCTGGGACTAACGAAAAAGCTTCTGATTTGCTGCCAGCAAACAAGGAAGAGATAATACACGAAGATCACCGGGGTCACAAAGACACAATACTCCAAGAAGGTCTGCTCTCTGGAAGCATCTGGCATCAGGAGAGCTTTTCCCAGGATGGACCACACAAAGGTTGTAATGCCGGCTGCAATGCAAGCAGCTTTGGAGTTATACACCACCAGCAAGGCGCAAAGCTTGGACCAGCGTGATGTAGCCCAATCGTGGCTCAAGAAATCCTCGAGAAATTCGACCTCTTCGCTAAAGAAGAAATCTGCATACTGCTCACCACTACTGTTTGCCCAGTGCTTCCCAAAGCCTGAGAGACATCTATGCAAAGGCACCCCCTGGAAAAGCTCCTTGGGCAAAATCGTCGGCAACAGCCTTGCTGGCAAAGGCGTCTCCTTATCACCCTTCGGGTGGGACGCTCTACCGCTTGGTGCCTTTGGCTTGGGGACCATGGGGCCGGCCAGTCCGTTTCACTTCGGTGAAACACGGTTCAGTCCGTTTCAGTCGAACGGCAAATCAGGTACACCATTTGAAGTGCTATTGGTTGACCTACATGTGCGGAAGACATGTCTTTTTATATAGGGATTTGCGGAACGGATTCATCATGTCACATCTAGCAATAACCAACGGTTGTCAACAATCTTTGGAAAACCTTCGAGGAGCCAAAAATGCAGAGATTGCAGTCGAACTTGAAATATGAGACTGCATGCCTGTGGATGACCTCCTTCATGTCCATTTTGTCCTAAAGAAAACGTCTGGGTGTGCGGCCAAGGTTGATGATCTTGTTGAAGATGAAACCCTGACCGACGGAAGTTCCGACACTCAACAACCCACATCTTCATGGCAAAAACTCAATACGTTACGTAACACCAAGGACCTGCTATTGAACCTAAACATGAAACAACAACAGCCGAAGCACACATGCTCGCGGAAGGGGGCGCAGAAACCAAATGGAATAAGCTAAATCCAACATCGACAAGAAGGATCTCAAAAACCTATAATCTGCAACTTGCTTGTGCTGAGAGGAGCATCCATACAGTCCGAACGCGAAGTTCGCTTATGAAGAACTGGTGTGGCGGGGGCGTGGTCCGAATTAGTGCGATCTGCTCCGCCATGCGCGCACCATGTTCGTGGCATTCGTGACCCATTCGGTCTGAAGCCAAGTGGAAAACCCTGCATCCATGAGAGAAACTCAGTTCAGTCTTAGCAGAAAGCGATGCCCAAACTGACTTGGGTTGCTTTGTGTATTAAAACTTGGACTCCAGAGATTGTTAATTCCTCTTCTCTTGGGTTGCTTTCTTGGTGTGTGTGTAACCTTTGGAATCACAGGGATCCTTTCGGATTGTTCTCGCTTTTGGTGTTTTGAACTTTTTAGCAGGGGACACGGCGCCAGATTGCAGACCGTGTCTAACAAAGCTATGCAATCTGGTGGGATATCCAGCTTGGCCAGCTGGACGTACCTGCAATTTTCCTTTTCCGAATGGCAAGAGGCTAAGCCAAGAACCTCACAGTCAGTACGCATTTCCATAAGTGTGTAACCCTTGTAGTCATAGGGATTTTTTCGATTTCCTTCCAACCTACTAGCGATGGCCTCTCAACCTGCCTTCGATGGCCTCTATAACCTAAGAGCGATGACCCCCAACTTTTGCACCTTGTTTTACTC